GGACGAAGGAGCGGGCTAGGCAGCTTTCGAGCGTTTCGTTGGAGGGAATTTTTGAATGAAGAGGGTGTTTATGTAATTTGTATCTTTCCTTTTGCTTTAATTAGAGAGTTAAGAGAGAATTAGGGGTATCTTGAATTTGAATGTAATTTGAGATCTAGGGTTTTCTTGCTTGGGCTCTTGGCGTTGCCGGAGAAGATCGGAGAGTTGTTCTTCCTCTCGAATCGTCAATATCCGTTTAGTTGTCACCAAAGTTCAAGATAAGAATTTTCCATTGTATTTGGTAGGATAGGCTTGCCCATAAGGATAGGTGTTGAGTTAGTACTTGCTCAATCAAAAAATAGAAAGGGTCTCTACACCCACTCAAGGGACAATATGATTGATATTATGGTGGAAAGCTTTGGAATAGTAATATTCTAAAGTTGCATTTTTAATTACAATTATAAATCATTCTCTTGATTTTTTTTAAGATTGAAGTGAATTTGTAAGGTGATATCCGTTTAGTTGTCACCAAAGTTCAAGATAAGAATTTTCCATTGTATTTGGTAGGATAGGTGTTGAGTTAGTACTTGCTCAATCAAAAAATAGAGAGGGTCTCTACACCCACTCAAGGGACAATATGATTGATATTATGGTGGAAAGTTTTGGAATAGTAATATTCTAAAGTTGATTGAAGGCTTCAATATGGATATAGGCCAACTGAGTGGTCGAACCATATAAATATTTTTTCTGTATCATTCTTTATAGTTTAGCGTGGTGAGCCCATAACCTACATGTCCCAGGATCGAAACCTGGCTCTGATATGAGAAAGTTTCCTATGATGTCCCTCTTTAACATTGTCATTGCCAGGTCCCAAGTCCTGGATGAGAAAAGTGGAGAATTGTATTAGGTAGTCGACAGCCAACGTAAAACTTGTCGAATAATCATGACATGAATCTTTTAAAAAATAGTGTTACTGCTAGGGCGTCCCCTGGAAGCGACGCACTGTATGGTCTGAATACAGCGACAAGTGTGCAAGGGTCGTTGCACCAGTGTCTGGGAGCAGTGTTAAAAAGGCTAGGGTTCCCGCATCAAGGATGGAAGGGGGCAAAGAAGCTAATCCATGAAATTAAAATTAGGATAAGAATTATGAATATAGGCTCCCTTATAGGAAAATTAATGAATTAATATATATTATGATTCTTGGGAAGATAAATATGCATTCAAGTAACTAAATGGGTTAGAGAGAAGGCTAATGAGATTGATAGTTTATAATATAAACTATGGTATTTGGGTAAGAGTCGTACTAGAAATGGTGTAGGTGTGATTATATATAAGATTATGAAGGATGATGTTATAAAAATTAACATAATTAGAAATAGAAATATAACTTTAAAGATTGTTGTTGATGCTAAGATTGTTAATATTATAAGTGCTTATGTTCCTCAAGTAGATTTGGATATGAGTTCTAAATTAAAATTTTGGAATGATTTAGAAAAATTAATACAAAAGATACCTTTTAATGAAAGAGTTTTTATTGGAGGAGATTTAAATGGACATGTTGGTAGAGAGGTAGATGATTTTAAAAGTATTCATGGTGGCCATGGGTTTGCAACGACAAATGAAGGTGGCAAGACCATATTAGATTTTTCTTTAGCTTATGATTTTTAATAGCTAATATCTATTTAAGAAAAGAGATGAGTATTTTATCACATATAAAAATGGATATAGTAAAATATAGATTGATTATTTTCTTATAAGAAAATTAGACAATTTAGATTGCAAAGATTTTAAAGTTATTTCGAGTGAAAATTTATGTACCCGACATCGATTATTAGTTCTGGACTTTAAGATAAATTGGCAGAAAATAAAAAATAAAATAAAACAATTTTATAGGATTAGGGCATTTAAAGAATATTAATAAAAATATTTTTTAAGAATAAGATTTTAGATCTTAAGATTTTATCTGTGTATAAGGATGCTAATGTTATGTGAGAAAAAAGTGGCTAGTGATATTAAGATTATTGCAAAAGATGTATTTGGAGTTTCGAAGGAAAAAACTCCTACTAGTAAAAATAGTTAGTGGTGAAATCCAAATGTGCAAGAAAAGGTAAATAAAAAAGAAGATTTGTTATAAAAATTAGTTTAGATGTAAAAATTATGATAATTGAGAAAACTATAAAGAGGCTCTGAAGAAATCTAAGAAAGTTATTTGTGATGCGAAGAACATAGTTTTTAATGATTTATATAATATATTATATACTAAGAATGGAGAAAGATTATATATATATATATATATATAAGTCAAACAAAGAGATAGGAGTACTAAGGATTTAGATCAAGTGAAGGGTATTAAGGATGAAAATCAAAAAGTACTTTTCTTAGAAGATGATATTCAACAAACGTGGATGGTTATTTTGCTAAACTTTTTAATGAAAAATGTGAAAATACGATTGATTTTAATGACTTTAGCACCCTAAATGAAAATAAAGATTTTTATTTTTATTGATATATTAGTAAAACCGAAGTTGAAGAGACTTTAAATAAAATGAAGTGTGAAAAGCTATTGGACCTGATGATATTCCAATAGAGATGTGGAAATACTTAGGAGATGAAGGAATTTATTGGCTTACTAA